AAATTGCAGGAAAACAGATCAAAGTTCTGTTACCTCCAGAAAAATTATGCCAATTAACATCTCCATCAGCTGTTCATGAGAATATTTAAGTCTCCACATCCTCATCAGAATTGAGCATTACTACTTTTCGATATCTGTCATTTTGATAGATGAATATCTTATGCTGATCTTTATTTCCTGGATGGCTAGAGTTTGAAATTTTATTGCATATGTATCAGGCATTTATATGTCATTTCTGAATAATCTGTTTATATACTTCACCCATTTTCTTATACTACTGAAAAAGTTTCTTTTAGGAATGTTTACACCTGGTCTACCATATGTTGTCAACGTTTCCCCCAGTTTATCGTTTACTTTTTTATCTTAATGTGTCTTTCTCCAAGTGCGTAACATTTCTTGGTTGGATCATCTCAGTTTTTTACCGTATTTTCCTTTTGCATTAATCCCTCTGTCATTTTCCACTTTCTTTATCTACCTGTACAGCCTCCCAAGGGGATTTTCTCAAGTTTCAACTCAATCATTGCTTCTAACATAGATTTTATTCAAGTATTTATTTTTTTGTAGTCCAGTTGGAAAAACAAATAGATTAGTCTGAGTTCAGCTCAGTGTCCACCAAATGAAAAAACCAGAGCCAAGGCAAACATAGGTGGTCTTAAAGAAGCAACCGTAATAGTAGTAATGACTAAGCAACCAAAAATTTAACACAGAGTGTTAAAGTTTAACTCCAAAACAGGGACCTCAGGCCCAACAAGAGTCTAGATAATAACCCAATTCTGTGTCCCATAAATGTCTTGCCTCTCTATTTTCCTCCTTAGTTTCTTTCCTTACACTCTCTCCCTTTTCCCACCCTTTTGTGACTGAGTTTCCTGGGACCTGGGACTTTTAGTGCTAAAATTGAGAGTCCTCAACAAACTATGAGTAGCTGGTTCCCCTATTTATGGTCCTTCAGCCCAAAGGAGTACCTCTTGTCCCTCTTCTTCTGCTCTTTTTAACCCATAATTAATCTTCTGGGATGATCTTTCCGTTCTGCCTCTGAATGAACGGAAATGTTTCCAACTCTGCTTTTGTTTCCTAAAATGGTAAATTTTCAAGAGTAGGAGATTATGTATTTTTACCATACAAAAATATGCATTTTTACCATTTATAAATTTTAGACCCTTTATTCCTGGGTAGAGTAAAAGTTACTGAAGCCTGGCTCAGCCATGTGTATTCATCTTTTTTACTTCCCTTAGTGAATTTATTTATTACTTATTGCTACCAAGACTATCTAAGAAGTACAGAGTAGGTGCAGAACTTCCTACTGTTGGGAAAGTCTACCAAAATTAAATCACTCTACAGATGCAAAATAAGTCAATACATTCAGCAAAGCGCGAATTGATGTGCTTTGTGGCTGCCTGTCTCTGAGGCATTTTCAAACAACTCTTACATAGCTTCTATCAAGCAATCTTTCCCATTCATATCGAAACCTTGAAAGAGAAAAGGGAAAAGCAAAGATCTACCTTACATACAAGCACACATTTGAACCTTAAGTGGTTTTTTTTGCCAAGGAAATGGGAACTTACTGTCCTAGAAATGATGGAACACTCTGAAAATGACTCAACAAAAACAAGAGATTCAAACTGCAATGTTGTTTGGTTTGTTTGTCTCAAAGTCTAGGGTGATGAATGGCGTAAGGCTCTTCGCTCTGGCTAGAATTTCAGTATTCTGAATTCATGCCCCGTATTCTCTCTATTTAACATCACCATGATACAATGCTGGTGACTTGATTTCAAGTTTGATTATGTAAATATTTAAATTAAGCATGCTTTGAATAAGCATGTTTAGAACAGTCAACATACGGAGGCAAGGAGCTCTACATAAATGCTGACTGGCTGGAATTATATTACGTGGGGTTGAATCTGGGCACATTTCAGTAAGGTAGAAAACTCATTCCATGGCATGTTTTAAAGGTAAATCTTTACCTCAAAGCAGTTTCATAGGTTCTTTCAAGATAGGTACTCCCTGGGAACCAGCAGTT